ATATGGGGTCATAATGCGGATCTATAGGTTGTTTTTCAGGTAATACTGAGAGATCAGCTTTCTGATCAATGGATTGCAGTACATTTATAGCATATAATGATAAGGTCCAGGTCTGAACCATTTATCGGTTTATGTCACGTACAAATACATCCTGTACATGAAGATAAACGGCCCATTCATAAAGACTGATCAATGGTGCAGAAGCTATTAAAGGTGTATATTAACCACAAGGTCATGTTCCATGTCAGCGCTCATCAGACTAGAGTCCTGTGTTTGTTTGGATCTCGGTCTGGATTACGTCTGATGGCTGATCCACTGAAACGCGTCTGATAAACATTACCTGGAGGTCAGATTGACGGGTGAAAAACAGGACGTGCTATCTCAGATTTTACGTGCCATTAGCGGCTTCACAGTCACTGTTTGTCTCTCAGTAAGAGGACACTGGATCAAGAACCTGTCGATAAAGATTCTCAAACGCTCTTATCAACAAAAACAGGAGAAAAGTGCAGCTTAAGAAATGCTGGGTACAGGCTGTTGTTGAGTTACTGATATCACAGATCTGTTTACTGAACAGAATTCAGGATTTTTCAATAATAAAGCGTACAAAAAAAGCTAAATTCTCACATTTATATACTATACAAATACTGTTAGAAAGTTTGGGGTCAATAGGATTTTTTATGCCCTATTTATGTCTCCAATAAGATTAGTAGATGATATTTATAACATTCAATGCAATGTAATACAATGATCGAGAAATTAACAAATAAACGCTCCTCAACAGCCTGGTGATCATATTTGAGACTCACTTATTGGAATTGAACATGATTTTATAGATAGTCAAGTAAAGTTTAGCTGCTTCCGTCCAGTAAGTGTTTATCTTGAAATATTACTATTAATATCAAAGTTATTAACTTTTTTGTACAATTATACATAAGACCTTTTACTTGCTAAAAAGTCTAAACTATCAGTGTAGCAGATGTAGCAACATGTTTTTCAGCAACACACGATACAGTAGATTTGATAGGGTTAAAGAGATTTATAACAGATTTTCTCCATTCCAAGAACTTCATTTGCATGTCTGACCCACAAACGTCTGCGAGCGAGAGACAAATTCTTAAAAATCTCTGCATGAGAACAAATTAGGTTTAACTTCCAGTCAAGTGTGAGGGCAGCTGCTTGAGGATATTATATCACTTAAACAGGTTGGTGGTTGTGACCTTTGGACAATTTTGGCTCCCAGACAGTTGCTAGTCTTGTTTTGATGATAAAGAGTACTAAATTCAAGCTATTTCACACTTTAGGAAGCATCTTTACAATGTACCAGATGCGGTCAACACTTCTTTAATAGCAGAACAGCATTGTAACTGTTATCTGAGCTACAAATATCACAGCTAGTGCTCCATCACGTGTTAGTCTGAGCGTACGAAGGCCTTGGGTTGTGTGTTCGCTGTCATTTTATTAGAATAGGTGACTTTATTCTAGGAATTCAGTTTTATTAAACTGTAATATCAATCTGAATTCTCAGAACGGTCTATTTCAGTCCACTGCTAATATTTCTATGAAGCCATTATCAAAGACAAACCCGTTTGATAAGATTTATAGTTTACATGAACTTCAAAGCTCTGGTTATGACCTGTTCATTTTTGAAGGTTATAAGTTTGCACACTTCAACAATAGCTTCTTAGAAACGCCACGGGTCAAATCTTTACTGTCAAGAGCACATATTTGCACAAGCTTGACAATGCTGGAAACATCCTGTCAGTGTACTTAAGACTATTTTTAGTAGGTTTTGTCGTGACAATAGTCTGAGTCGTATTGTATATACTTGTTTCAGTCGGATATGAGGGCTGTTGTTTTTATTATGTGCCACTTTTGGTTTCCTTGCCTTCCATATAAATATAGTCCAGAAACCTTACTGTTTATCGGTCGAATGAAAGGACAGTATCTGCGTCATAATTCACCTATAAGATCTGGATGCAATGGACAGATAATTGTTACTTTTGCACTTTAAACAAGAAAGCTTCTGTTCAAAACCTACATGTGAATGTGAAACTGCTTGTTTGCTTTCTTCACTATTAAAGAAGGGGGATAAATTAATAATGAATGCACATTAGAATTCCAGTCAAAATGTATTTCTTCTGAATGCTGTTCACTGTTTTACAATGCTCTGTACCCATGTTTTGAATACCATAATTATATTTTGCATTTCTTAATTGTAGAGATTTATAATATAATATAATATATATTTTATGTGACTATGTCATTCATACACACACACACACACACTAGTCAACATTTGAAGTGGATCAAAACCTTTCATCAAACTTTTCATCGAACTTTTTTGATCCACTTCAAATGTTGACTACTATAGATTTTATAACAAAGATATAAAAATATAACTATATATATAGTACTATGATAACTTGATGTTAACAGTGCTACTGATACTTTCTGCTCCACTCTTACATCTTGTTTAGACACTGTCTGCCCCTTGTCTTCCAGGCCAGCTCGTAGCACCTCTTCTGCCCCTTGGCTATCTGATGTTCTCCGTGAGTATCGTTCTAAGCTCAGAGCTGCAGAAAGAGTATGGCGCAAATCACAAAATACTACTGACCTTAATGTATATCGATCACTTCTCTCTTCATTCTCTGCTAATGTCTCCACTGCTAAAAGGACATACTATCATAATAAAATTAAAAATTCGTATAACTCTCGCATGCTCTTTAAAACATTTTCCTCCCTCCTTTGTCCTCCTCCTCCCCCTCCTTCATCAACTCTAACAGCTGACGACTTTGCCACGTTCTTCATTAATAAAATTAAAACCATCAGTGCACAATTTTCCACACCACAATCTGTCAAGCACATCTTACCAGCAAACATACACTCATTCACATGCTTCTCTCCACTATCTGAGGCAGAAGTCTCCAAACTCATCCTTTCTAATCATCCTACTACTTGTCCGCTTGATCCTATTCCATCTCATCTCCTTCAAGCCATTTCTTCTTCAGTTGTACCTGCACTCACTCACATCGTTAACACATCCCTTCACACTGGTGTTTTTCCCTCAGCATGTAGACAGGCTCATATAACCTCACTACTTAAGAACCCTTAACCCATCTCTTTTAGAGAACTACAGACCGGTTTCCCTTCTTCCTTTCATTGCAAAAACACTTGAACGAGTTGTGTTCAACCAAGTCTCTGCCTTTCTCACACAGAACAACCTCCTGGACAGCAACCAGTCTGGTTTCAGAAGTGGACATTCAACCGAGACTGCCTTGCTCTCAGTTGTTGAAGCCCTAAGACTGGCAAGAGCAGATTCCAAATCTTCAATACTTACCTTGCTGGATCTGTCCGCTGCTTTTGACACAGTTAACCACCAGACCCTCCTGTCAACCCTATTGGCAAAGGGCATCTCAGCAACCGCACGCCAGTGGTTTGAGTCTTACCTCTCAGATAGGTCCTTCAAGGTATCTTGGAGAGGTGAGGTGTCCAAGTCAACATCTATCTACTGGGGTGCCTCAGGGCTCAGTTCTTGGACCACTTATCTTCTCTGTCAAACATGGCTTTTCATAACACTGCTATGCTGGTGACACTCAACTCTACCACTCATTCCATCCTGATGATCCGACGATAACTGCTCGCATCTCAGCTTGTCTAACAGACATTTCTTGCTGGATGAAGGACCATCACCTTCAACTCAACCTTGCCAAGACAGAACTTTGTGGTTCCATCAAACCCATCGTTTCATCACAATTTCACCATCCAGTTAGGCACATCAACCATAACTCCTTCAAAAACAGCCAGAAACCTTGGAGTTATGATTGATAATCAG